CATGCGCGCCGAGCGCTGGCAAATGCTCACCGAAGTCGACGGCAAGACCAAATACGAAACCCAGGAGACGTTCGGTGGATTGCTAGCGTACCTAGTGCGCTTCCTCATGCAGAAGAACTTGCAGGCTTCGTTTGACGCGATGGCCGATTCGTTAAAGCGAAGGGCCGAAGAACAGCAGGCTCAATGTTCTACGCCTTCTCAGCAGTAGTCCCCAGTACCCTTCCGACTACCCGCCCCACTTCCAATTTTACTGTGTCTTCGCCCATATATGTGTAACTTTATGCCATCTCTCCCGTTATAAACCTGTTGTTCTACATAACGTTCATCTCGATCCCGTCATCATGGGCGAGGGTGTATTCTCCGTCTGGTCCTCCATCTCCATCAACGCCCCGATCGACGTCGTTTGGCGTGTTATCCTTGACTTCGCTTCTTATGGCGAGTGGTGCGTTCTCCATCTAGCCCATGTCCCTCGACTTAGAACTCGATTGCTAGGAACCCTTACATGTAAGACCAAAAGAAGCTTTTCTCTGACGAGCCTCTGATCCTCTACCACTAGCCACGCCCAAGTGCTCGTGAACGATTCCAATCAACCTCTCCCTGATCAAAATCCCACGGAGGGGCAACGTCTCCTTCAAAGTGTCCACATCCCACCAACCCTGGATGGCAAAGCCAAACCAACCCGCAACCTCGAAATCCTCACGCATGTCGACCACCGTGAACGCTGCCTTGCTTGGCGCTTCGCCTCTCCAGCGCACTGCCTCCTCCGCGCCGAACGCTGGCAAACGCTCCACATATCAGCGTCGGATGGATCAACACGGTACGAAACGTGGGAGGTGTTCGGCGGGCTGCTCGCATATCTCCTCCGGTTCTTCATGCGCGACAAGCTGGAAGAGTCGTTCGAGGCGATGACGATGGCATTGAAGGCGCGAGCCGAGCAGACCAACGAGGAAGGCAACCCTTCTGTATGAGGGTCTTCATGTACATATGGACGACGGTCGACTGCAATATGCTGGTTTCACGTTAGATCGATTCAGGAAACTGGTATACATATTCATGGCGGAGACTTTTCTGTGTATTCACGTTACGCGGAAGCCCCCTTGTCCTCGTAGTGTAAGGAAGCATCGACAAACGACTATCAGGTTTCACGAAATCACCACACACAAAACATATATCATTGTCCGCGCATGAAGACATGTATTTCCATAACTAACTTGAAAGTCGACATGAGAATACGAACTCCCTTGTACTCGAGGGGTTCCTTCTGAGGACCGAGGACGTCGAGGACCAGATGTACGTCTTCCCGGGCTGCCTATTCTGACGCCGAAAGTGAGCCCGTGCCAGACGCCGCACCCGGCGTCGACAATGATCTTTGCAATTGCAGCCACTCAGAACGGGTCCTAGGGGCGCCAGGGCTTGGGGCTTGCGGTGGATTCGGATCGTAAACCTTCCTCCCTGAACGAACCTTTGGCTGACTATAATGCAACAATCTCCCTTCGTGAATCTTCGGGTGCTTGCCATCTTTCGACTGCGAGGGGATGTATCCCGAGGAAAGTTCAGCGGAGGTGCCCCGAGGCGGGGGTGGCTCTGACTGGTATGATTTCCTACGCCAAATCGTTACTCGTCGGGAATTCGCACAGATGCAAAGAGGGGACAATGACGCACTGCATCATGTTCTCCGTGCTTCCGGTTATGTATCCACGTTCATCGCGAGTCTGCAGCGGGTAAAATGAGACAACATTTAGTTCTTGGAGAGAGCACATGTACATACGCGAGAGCGCCCGTAACCGTATTGAACAGTCCCCGAATGGATGGAAGACTCGGGGGACTGCTTCGCCTCCGTGGCTTTCCGTTGCATGCGTTCCTGGCGATAAAGGCGACTTATGTGATTATCGTCTCTGGTCGCCTGGTCCAAGGCCGCCTGCAATTCTCTCTTCTTCTCGCGCGTGGCGGCACGTTGCTGAGCGAGCGAGGGGCCTTGCGCCGATGGAACCTGCGACGAGCATGGGACCGGTACATAGGGTTCTTGGTTATTGACGCTGACAATGTGATTATCCATGAGTGAGACGACGGAGGGGGGGAGATATGAACGACAATTAGAGGCTTGTGGGGGACGTTTATATAACACATGGAGAAACTACTAAGGGGTAATCGCGTGAGTACTAAGTGAGAAGAGACACGAGGCGTGCCACCCAAGTATCGCGGTCCCTATACACGCTTCGCATGCGGGCGAGGAAGTTGGAGGTGACACCAGAGCTGCGGACGTGCCACTGGGTGACGGACTCAAAATGCAGTACAGAAGAAGAAAGCACCTAGAAGTCCATGCTTGTACGTCGTTGCCACGATGAGATCAGAAACTTCGCCGCCACGAAGCCCGACGAACCGCGATGCGATTGAGTGTATCCTTCTCTGCAGTGGATCGACTCCAGGAAGTTTCTTGCGGTCTACTTGCGGGATCGAAAGAACCTCAAATAACGTGGATAGGACGGCGTCATGCACATGGAAGTCAATGTACGTATTAGTCGTGGACCGGGCCAGAGGGGGGACAAGTACGGACCTAAATATCACAGTCCCGCAGAATTCCACGATATCCCATGGACAAGCCTTCATATCAGTGCACAGGACCAGCCCCGACGTGGATGCCGGAGAAAAAGCCAACTTAGGGACGCGGGTAGACAATAGATGGCCACGAGACGTATACCCCAGTACGTGATAGGACCAGTACTCTTCCGTGGAATACTGATCAGACAAGGCTGCACACAGCAGAAACTTCCGAGTCTTGATGGTACCTCCGTGACGAAAGTTGAAGCTAAAATTGAGAAGTTGAGGTCGTCCATAAAGAGTACAAAGGCGGCACACGGGAGACTGGCCAGAAGGTTTGAGAGAGTGAATACAGCACCATCGCCACGTCGAACTTGAGATAAGGTTTTGAAGCTAGTAGCTCGTACCTGCTTGTGTCTCATGAAAAGCGAGCTTCGTCACCAGTGGGCGAGGAGGATCGCGAAGACCGGGACAATACAACCATCACACGAGGACGACCGGTGTCAATGCCTCCTTCTGGTCTGAATTCCTGGGAAAGGAAGTGTATGTTACAAGGAGGAAAAGAAAACGAATCGTACCCGCCGGTGTTTCGCTGGCCAACGTACCACCCTTCAAATGTTTTTGACTTTGTGTCGCGGGTGTTGCTGTGGCATCCTGTGACGAAAACGTTTCCAGGGAGAGCCGGCGGGTGGGCGAAGCGGAAAACGCCGAGAGCAGCCTCTGGGGGGATCGCTGACGTAACGGCGCGTGGCCAGTTGAACCTGGGTCCTGGTTGGTCCTGGCAGTGGAGGCGGCAATACATAAATCAAGCTTCCTCTTTCTTTCGCCCACTATCTTCTCCTCCTGCGCCTTCTCCTCGACAGTGTCTCATACGACCTCCTTCCTTTCTTTTAGCCCACCAGAACCTAGCTGTATTCCCTCCCCCGTTCTCGGCGAACCCAACCCTCACGCACACCGACGAAAAACGCAGAGATGTCTGGCTACTCCTCGATTTTTTCCTCGGGTCTCCTCGCCACCCCGCGCCCCAATCGCAGCAGTGGTGACGACGATTCGTCCAGAATGGACATCACACCGACGCGCAAGGTCCATCTCGGCACCGGCTTCACCACACCTTCGTGCGACGAGGACGAGGACATGGACCGGGATTATTTCAATACTCCCTCTCGCAGTCGTTCCTCCAGCACAACGTCCATCGAGTCGTCGGCATCCGTCGCCAACGGCTCTATCCGACTTCGCCGTCGTCGAAGCAGCTTAACAGTGTCCACCTCACCCATTGCCAACATCCGCAGCCCCATGCGTAGCGCTGGCGTGGCATACCAACGTACCATGCTAAGCCCAGGAATGGGCTCGCGAGCGCGGAGCGGAAGCCTCAGCGGTGAAGGGGGCGTCGGTTCAGAGGAGAATATCAAGGGAAGGTCACGGAGTGGCAGCCTCGGAACGGCTCTTCGGTGCGTTCGGTTTCCTTGTCTTCCATAAGGTTGGGTCCTCTGACGTCGCATCCATGATTTCGGTTCATTCCACAGCCCCCGTCGAATGGTTCGCAAAGCCGCGATGTCGCCCCCTCCGACGGCACCCCTCCCCGCCCTTCCTCCTCTCCCTGCCATGTCGATGACCGAACAGGGCCTCCGTCGCCCCCTCATACATCGCTCGAGCACCTCCGAAAACTACTTGTCCTTCGGATCGGCGATACAAGCACACGGCACTTACCTCACCACGGACTTTGCCAGCAAGCTCCACGCGGCGCTCACCACTCCGCCCGGGAGCAACCCGTCAAGTCCCATCGACGGTGGCCATTTCTGGCAAGATGGCGCGAAGGAGAACTGAAGAAATGCGCGCGGCGCGTAGGCGCGACTGTTCTATATGATTTGTTCGTCATGGTTGTATTTTTTGGTGAACTTGCTCGCATGTACATTTGTTTCCGTTTTGTCACGACTATCCCGGCTACGGCCTCCCTCTTCCCCCTTTCCTCGCTAATGGCTTCGTTTTTTGCTATGGGGTTTTACAGTAATTAGGCGTCTATTTCCTTTTCGAAGTGCATACACCTCTTCGTCCGTCCGTCCCGCTCCTCCTCTCACAGACTCTTCTCTGCTCCCACATCATGTCCGCCACTCTACGTCCCTCCCATGACCCTTGCTCTCATCTACCTAATATTGCACATAACGTATTGCCTGTATTTAGAGCGTACCCGGGCAGGTCCCCCGTGACTTTAATTTCCACTCCTTTTTTACACCGTACTTTGATAGTTTGTGTGCGGGATCTTATCGCATTCTTTGCTCTTCAGGCCTTCACGCATCCACCCAGGTTCCACAGACTGAGAAATTCTCGGGCCTCGGGTTCGAGCCTTCCCTGTACCAACGACTACTTGAAGACGTGATATGGAACCAGCGATGGTCAAACGACTATTCTCTGTAGGTCAAGCTACGGCCACTAGTCATAGGTATACCTTGTGACCTTGAACTCCGGTCCCTGTCGATTAGTGGTCAAATCATCACGTTGTGGTCGCAGCTCCGCGAAGCCGCCGGCTCGAATCCGGCCAGGGACATGTAGCAGAATATTGTCCTCTTTTTTGCCCATGCATCCCAAGTACAGCTTGCACTCACAGAGTTACACCCCAATGCCCATTGCCCAATGCCCATAGGGGCCTATTACTTAGGGCCATACCCAAATTCCCCGCCAAACTCGTGAGTCCCAATCCCGCCAGATTATCATTATTATATAATACCTCTTCATTGCCAACTCAACCATCCCCGACTCTCGCTAGGACGAGTCTCCTACACCTCCAATACTTAGGATCTACATCTCGCCTGACTTCCCCGTCTCCAAACTCCATTCCATATACCTCGGCCAACCCTGACCCCGACTTCGCCCCGCTGTATCGGTTTCCGCCTACACCTGGTATACTTACAGGAGACCGGGCTCTGATACAGGTTTGAACAGTGCCCGCACAGGACAACTTGCTATTTCGACCGCGCACCACTATATATGCCTTCACCGCATCGGGCGCCTGCCACACGCCAAGAGCAGGAAGTTTGCAAGCGCGTAGAGAAATTGCTCAAGATGACACGCATCACGGAGCGGCAGCGGCGACAGCGTCCACATCGGTTCGTACGATTCGTATCCTGTTCGTCGCTGCTCTGATTCTGATAAAGTGAACTTGTAGGTGGTCTCTTTGCTCACGCCTGCCAACCGCCACGAGCCCGATTCAGAAATATGGACACTCAACGAAGCCGGCATCATTTCCGGTATATCTGCAATGTGTGCAAGCATCATGATCGACATATCGCCACCACTCGGGCCTTGTTCTCGTCGCCTTGCCGTGCATGTGCGCCCGTTGATGTCGCCCGTTGTCCACGCTGTTTCAGGTCCAAGAAGGGAAGGAGGAGGTGTGTGTATCGCTGGTCGGTTTAGTCTCGTGGCGAATTGTGTGCTCATTTTCTCAGGATCATATCATGGAGCACTCGCTCTAACGACAGGTACTCGGCGAGACAGTGTTTAGTGGTTCAATTCCGGGAGCTCCGACGCTCCAGCTCACACAATGTCGCTTCAAACAGCATGGAATACACTCCGTCAACGACAGGGCTCGCTTGAGAGATGCTCGGATTCAGATGCCTGTGCGATCTGGATCGTGGACGAGTCCATCTTTCACCATCATAATACTTGTACTGACAGAAGGGATGTGGAAGATTTCCTCGTCGACTCAACCCATGGGGCTCATCAATCTTTGAAGCATCGCACTTCGGCGCCTCTTGTCGATATACCTTCGAGTATAAAGAGGGTCTCAATCGCACAAGAACTCCCACAGGCCCTTGACCCCTCTTCCATCTTATTACTTACTCCCACTTCCACTTCTTCTATGCTCGCGTTCGTCGCTCTCGCCATCTCCTTCTCGGTGGCTTCGGTACGCGCGGACCTGGGCAAAACTTCTCTTTTTCCAAACGGCTTGCACGACCCGCTTAGCGGCCTGGACAACCTTCGCGTCCCCGCGAGCTCTGTGGTCAGCGTAACACCCCCCGACCTCTGCGTCCAGCACGCCCAGGACAACAGCTGCGACACGTCCTCGCTCCAGGCGTTTACAGTCACCTACGACGACTGCACAGAGCCGTGGACGATCTGTCGCTGCAGCGATGCGCAGATGGAGTGCGTACAAACCGTCGTCTCTTAGACTTCGTCTGTAGCTGACGCGCGCAGTCAAACGACGTTGATCAATAGGTTCGGTCAGATCCCGCCCGGTGTGCGCAGTTACGTCGGCAGCGCACTGGCCGTTCAGGCCGGTAGCTGCAGTGCCGGCAGCGGTGGCGATTTCATCGTCTTCAGCGGTGATTGCTCCGAGAGCGTATTCGATCATGAGTCGTACGTCTTGAATCACCTTCATCTGTGAGACTTTTCCGATGTATGCAAACTACAGGGGACACTCTCTCGACCAGAACACTTCGCCGTCCCAGACTTGGGCCGACGCTCTCGCGGGCTCGACCTGCGTGCCCGATGACTACGCCGACACTTCCACCGCGGAGGACTTCGCGCAGGTCAACGTCTTGTACACCTACCAGACGAAGATCGCGCCTATTCCTGCGGACACGAGCTGCCTGCAGCCCCAGCTCGACGTCTTCTCGAACACGCCGCGCATCGCGAACGCCCACTCCACCACGACTTGCACCGCGAGTGTTCGGCCGTTCGATCTGTACGTCCCCTATTCCAGCGTCTGATGATGCGGTGCTGACGGTAGCGAATGTGTAGGTCGACTGATAGTAATGTCAGTCGCAGAGATGCAACCTACGTTCCCATCAAACTCAATTACTTCCACCCGAACCCAAGGGATGCGACTTACGTTCCCATCAAGCTTCATCGTTTCGAGCGGGGTGTTTGAAACCCGATAGTGAATTTACTAGTAGTATGGTCTTGCGAGGTTAGTTAGTACCAGCCACATAGGTTCCTGTACCGAGTCCGTAATTCATTCGCATGAACGCGACAAAGCCTTACGAAGCCTGAACATTGCTTGGGGTCCCCTTTTGCATGGAATAACTAGCCGAGCAATGTGAAAACCACTGTCAATCCCGTTCATGCAAATGAACAAGTCGTCGGGTATCAATTGAATACGTAGTCAAATCTGCATGGCCGACTAGCTCAGCTGGTTAGAGCGTCGTGCTAATAACGCGAAGGTCTTGGGTTCGATCCCCAGGTTGGCCATCATTTTTTTACTACTACCTAAACAAACACTTCTTCATTCATTCAAGTTTGAACTTTGAAGTTCAAGTTTTCAAGTTTCAAACTTTCAACCAGTTACTCCGACTGAGACTCTCATGAGTAGCACTATGTACTCCTTACTAGATAGTACGACTGACCAGACTCTTCCATGATCCAACACCCGTATCCAGCAGAGAGTGGCAAGCGCAGCGGATGTCATTCTCGTCGTAGAAAGTTGGAATAAGTACAGCGACGCGGCGTATGCCAGTGCGCGCGCGGACGCTAGCGGTAAGATAGAGTTATGGATAGCTGTAGACAGCCAGGTCATGCAGATAAGTATAGGTGTGCGGGTAGGTAAACATTTCGATGCGACTCCCCGGTTGGTGAAGTGGAGATGAAAAGGTAAGCTGTAGGGGACAAACTGCCCCCATAAATATGATAAATAGCAAAGAAGAAGGGGTGATGAACGTCGAAGGGGGCGTGGCCAAACGATCGATCAAAAACGCCTGCCCACGAGGATATCTTCCCCGTCGGCACCGCTGCTGCGTCCGGTGCTGTACCCACTCCGACTGGAATGCGTACGCGTACCAGAGCTCATCGCGCGGATCATGTCTTTCATGCTTCCGAGGCTGAGCTTGGGCGGGCGCATGGCTGCCTTACGAGGGCGTATCGGGGAGTCTTCAGGTGGAGTCAACGGCGCAACGGGACGCGTCGGGAACGCGCCGACGTCGAGCGCGGGCGCGTGGTAAGACTCCTCGAGGAATGCGATGCGCGCAAGCCGCGCGTCCGCAGGCGAGTTGCTCGGGATCTTGGTGTTCGAGCCAGGGAGGGGAAGCGCGAGAGGCGCGGGCCTGCGGCGCGTCGCACCCTTGGAACGAGTGAGCTGTACGCGTTGAGGAGACAGAGGGGAGGCGGGGCTGAGAGGGACGGTGAAAGCTTCGGCGTCGAAGTATGATGCCTTGCGGAGATGCGCGGCGCGTCGGCGAGAGCGGGCGGGGATGGCGAGGACGGACAAGCCAGGAGTGGACTTGCCGGTCGAAGCGCCTCCACTGTCCGGAGACGTCGCCTGGCTGGTATGCTCCCATGGGTTGGAAAGCTGGTAGCGCGGGTCGAGGGCCGATTCCTGCGAGTACACGCTCTTGTCGGGCGACGACTGCGGCGTCGAGTTAAAATCTTCCCACTCCTCCGACTCTTCGTAGTCCATGATGAGACGGGCGAACTCCCACTCCTCGTCCTCCTCGAAGAGCTCGCGCGGTGCATTGTCCTGCTCAGGCTTAGCAACAGCAGCGGCCACGGACGAGCGGTCCATCGTCAGACGACGAGTCTTCCCATCCGCGGGGCCGTCGACGAGCGTGAGCATGAGCCGTTCGCTGGCCAGCGGTTGCGAGTACTCTGTCCGTTTCTGAATGGCCAAGCGTGAGGCGCGGATCCCTGGCGATTGCGCGACGCGAGAACGGCGACGGGATTTGGGTGAGGCAGAGTGCGCGCGCAACTTCTTCGCCGCGGCGGTTTGGAAGGTGCGCAGACCACCGCTCCTGGCTGAGGACGACGGGGATGGCGTAGGCGATGGGGTAGGGAGCGGCGCGCGCACGGGCGCGGACTTCTGCGCTGCCTTGGGTGACGCCCGGGGACCTTTCGGCTGTTTGGGCTGCGGGCTGCGTGCGGTGATGGAGAACTCGGACTTGAAATGTTTCAGGAGCGGTCCTACGAGCGTCGGGCTCTCGAGGCGGAGGAAGGACATGGATTGGCCTGCAGCGTGCACGACGGCGGATTCGGGGCTGCGAAGGCGCGAGAGGGCCATGAACTTCTGCGCGAGGGCGGGCGTGCCGGCGGTCGAGGGTGGACTGGGGAGAGCGGGCGATCCTGGCTGGACGTGGGTAGCCCAGGAGACGATGACGGACGGACGTTTCAGCTGGGCGGGCTTGGAGACATAGCCGTGGGCGAGGCTGGCACCGCCCGAGAGCGGGCTGAGGGGGCTCATCTGCGGGCGTGAGGGGAGAGGGGTCGTAGGAGCGCGTTTCTGGGGCGGTGGGCGGGTGAGCATGATATTGGGGCGGGCGAAGGTGCGAATCTCGGCGGCGACAGGAGAGGCCATTGGAGAGTACTGAGAGCGGGGAAGGTGGGGAAGAATATGGCCAAGAAACTTCTGGACGCGCCGAGTCTGTCAGCGACGTCCCCCGAATGCGAGGCGGCGATTACTCACGATAGACGTTGGATCGCTCCGTAGGTCGTAAAGGCAAAATCACAGCAGACAGAAATAAGAAACGGAGACGCGACGAAAAAGGAGGGGGATGTTGGTACAAAGAAACCGCCCAGAAAAGAGGAAGAGAAGAAAGACGAAAAATGAAGGATCAATGCAGA